AAAAAAACAGGAGAAGACAGCTATGTTTAACCTGATTTGAATATCACACAGTGTATTCAAGTATTAAAACATCATGATCCCATGAATGTGCGAATTTTTTATGTTTTTGTGTATCAGCATACCCTTGTAATTCTGGTTACTTGGGATACTTGAGACAGGTAAGATTGCATAAGCCCAGGAGTTCAAGACCAGCCTAGATACTTTAACAAGACCTATTTCAGAAAAGCAACAAATATAATGAAAGTAATCAAGTCCTTGAAAAAAAATTAACTCCTAATCACACTTTAGTTCCCTTTCAGAGAGAGCGAGAAAGGCAATGCATGGCCAAACCGGAGGCCAGTGCAGACCTGGCTCCGATGAGTTCCAGGCCCCTGTGGGGTTGCCCATCTTGCTTCTGCAAGTCCATGTGCTCCTGTTAGAGCCATTAGCTCCCATCAGTCTCTGGGCCAACCTGACTGGGCCTCGCATGCACCCCGTGGAATGACTTTCCAAAATAAACTGTTTGCTTCTGTTTTAACACTTGTTTCCTTGGGAACCCGGGGTTCTTCTCAGAGCCCATGCGCCTCAAGGCACATGCCTTTCATTAAGGTGGCAGGAAGAACCTGACATCCAGCCAGGACTGAGGAAGGAAAACCACTCATCCGAGAAGAGAGAAGATACGGGGGAGAGGCAGATGTGTGGGGACACGCGGCTTCCTGCATTCGTTGGAGCCTGCTGGACCTCCACACCTCTCAACATGGCTTGCTCGGGGAGGAAGACTCTGTCTTTCCTCCTTGTCTTCATGCTGGTATATCTACATGGGGCTTCATCTCAGGCAACAGGCCCAGCGGGGCAAAGGAAACCATTTTTTGAGAGGCTCCGTAGACTAGAAGAGCAGGTAGGTGGACCTCACTTGGGGCAGTTGTGTTGGTTTTTGTTTTATTTTTTGTCGGTCGTGGGCCTGAACTCTGGGCCTGGGCGCTGTCCCTCAGCTCTTCAGCTCAAGGCGAGCACTTTACCACTTGAGCCATAGCACCACTTCCAGTTTTCTGGTAGTATTGGAGATAAGAGTCTCACGGTCTTTCCTGCCCGGGCTGGCTTTGAACCACAATCCTCACATCTCAGCCTCCTGAGTAGCTAGGATGACAGGTGTGAGCCACCAGCTCCTGGCTTGTTTTTTTTTTTGTTGTTGTTGTTGTTGTTTTTTAATGGCAACAGATGAATGGTGGATGTTACAGAAACAGTTGTAAACATTGGTGCTCTGTGGACGTGAGCATGCAGTTTAGTGTTTTTTTTGTTTTTGGTTTGATGGGTTTGGGGTTTGGGGGGATTTTTTTGCTAGCAGATAATGGCATTTTCACTTATCTGGACACCAGGAAAGGGCCAACTGGCCCAGGCTCTGAGTACAGTCAGATGATCTGCGGCAGGGTCTGCGAACTTACACCAGGCGTCCGAGAGGCCTGAGCAGCAGGGAGCTTGGGGGCCCAAGGTTCCCAGACTACCCCAGGTATGGGACTGAGAAGGTTCTAGTGCATCTCAAAGCAGAGGTTATAGATAGCCCAGAGGGCCCTGTGTGTGTCCTCCTTCTATTCCAGCAAAGGGATCCCACGGCCCATCCCCCATCTGGCTGCCCCCCCCACAAGCTAGGCAGGACAAGCCGCTGACCACAGGGAAGGACAGCCCCCAGCCCTCACTGCGAAGCTGCAGGACCAGCGGTGGCCATTCATCTGCCCACGTCTCCGGTGTCACGGCATGATCAACCCTGTCACCAGACGGAGCTGCAGGTGTTTCTGCTATGAGCAGAAACAGTCTCCCTCCCCCCCCATAACTGCTGTGACCTCTTTGCAGTTTTGGAGATTCCAAGAGGTGACCTTAACACACCTGCAAAGCATTGCCAGCAACTACAACGTGTCCTACAACATCGATGCCCGGTTCCAGAGCCTGGAGGAAGACAGCCAGGCCACAGCTCTCGCAGTCAACAGGTCCCAGGCCATAGTCTTGGGGGACCTGGCCCACCTGAAGAGCTGGGTGAGGAAGAGCCAGCGCAGAAGCCGGAAGGTGGACACGCAGCTCCAGGCCTTGCACCTTACCCTGAGCGCGCAGGGCAGGCAGTGGGCACAGGAGGCGGACGAGCAGAAGGCGCGGCAGGAAGCCCTGGCCAGCCTGGCACGGGACGTGCAGGCCATGCAGGACACACTGGCCCGCCTGACGCTCCAGATCCACAGCCAGGGAGCCAGACTGGCTGTCTTTGAGGGACATCTGCAGACTGACCATCATGGCCCCTCAGCTCCGGCGCTGACCCTCGCCCTGACCCCCTCTCAGCCCACAAAGCCAGGCCCAGGCTCCCTGCAGCTGCAGAGGGGTAGGCACACACCGGGGGCTTCCGCACTCCAGAATCACCCTGAGGACACCTCCACCCTCGCCGACCCGAGCATCCATCGGTCTCTCGTGCGTCCCCAGGACCCGTCTCAGCTGGCACGGGTCCCCCAGGGACAGGGACATAGTAAGTGTCACAGGCCTGATGCCCCACCTCAGATATCCAGCTGCCCCTCCAGCTCCTCCTGGGCCCCGGGAGAACTGCTCAGCCCGTCACGGGCGGCCAGCAGCCGCGAGCCGGAGCCTCAGGCCGAGGCGGCCGCCGCGGGTGTTTAAAGGCTGTGGGGCCGGAACGCGCCGGCCGCGCCTGACGAATTAGTTGTGCGACGGCAGCGACTGGGTCTGCGCCTGCGCAGAAGACGGCTTTCCTCTGTGGGCGTGGCCCTGTGGGGCGTGAGGGCGTGGTCTGCGCCTGGTGAGCGTTGATTCGGCCGTGTGGGCGTGGTTTGACTTGGAGCCTGGCGGTGGGCGCGAACCCCTGCTGTCCGCTAATCCACAGCAGTTGGTCCTGGGGGGCGGGGGAGGGGGGGTGATGGCGCGACGTTGGGCCCCGTCGTGGCTGGGGCTTTCCTGCCCGGGCTGGCTTTGAACCATGATCCTCAGATCTCAGCCTCCTGAGTAGCTAGGATGACAGGCGTGAGCCACCAGCGCCCTGCTCTGGATGAACAGTTTTAAATGGAAACCATCCTTGTTCAGAAAGCATAAGGCCTGCTCCTCCATCTTGGGCCTTGAGGAGCCAGTGGGTCCCAGGACCGGCTCCATCCCCTCCATGAGCCAGGCCGAGCTGTGGGGCAGTGCCTACCCACCCCTTGGCCTGGTGCTCTGGGCTCATCAGTCCTAGGAAGGACGGATATCTGGTCAGGGGCACTTTACTGGGTGGTTTTATTACCACAAACCAGGACCCTCAAACAAGTAACATTACCCTTCCACGGTCACGGAGGTCTGGGGAGGGCCCATCTTTGTTCTTGTCCAGATCTGGGGGCTCCAGGTGCTTTTTGTGGCAACTTGTTCCGTTCTCCTCCACCATCTCTGCAGGAACATCCGCTCTGGGTCTCTTACATCTGAGTCTCTCAAAGACACTTGCCTGTTGGGACTCAGGACCCATCTGGGTAATCCATCTGCAGCTCTGCAAAAACACTTTGTCTACACAAGCTCAGAGAGAGTACCCAGGCCCTGAGTTCAAGCCCCAGAACTGGCAAAAAAAACAGGAGAAGACAGCTATGTTTAACCTGATTTGAATATCACACAGTGTATTCAAGTATTAAAACATCATGATCCCATGAATGTGCGAATTTTTTATGTTTTTGTGTATCAGCATACCCTTGTAATTCTGGTTACTTGGGATACTTGAGACAGGTAAGATTGCATAAGCCCAGGAGTTCAAGACCAGCCTAGATACTTTAACAAGACCTATTTCAGAAAAGCAACAAATATAATGAAAGTAATCAAGTCCTTGAAAAAAAATTAACTCCTAATCACACTTTAGTTCCCTTTCAGAGAGAGCGAGAAAGGCAATGCATGGCCAAACCGGAGGCCAGTGCAGACCTGGCTCCGATGAGTTCCAGGCCCCTGTGGGGTTGCCCATCTTGCTTCTGCAAGTCCATGTGCTCCTGTTAGAGCCATTAGCTCCCATCAGTCTCTGGGCCAACCTGACTGGGCCTCGCATGCACCCCGTGGAATGACTTTCCAAAATAAACTGTTTGCTTCTGTTTTAACACTTGTTTCCTTGGGAACCCGGGGTTCTTCTCAGAGCCCATGCGCCTCAAGGCACATGCCTTTCATTAAGGTGGCAGGAAGAACCTGACATCCAGCCAGGACTGAGGAAGGAAAACCACTCATCCGAGAAGAGAGAAGATACGGGGGAGAGGCAGATGTGTGGGGACACGCGGCTTCCTGCATTCGTTGGAGCCTGCTGGACCTCCACACCTCTCAACATGGCTTGCTCGGGGAGGAAGACTCTGTCTTTCCTCCTTGTCTTCATGCTGGTATATCTACATGGGGCTTCATCTCAGGCAACAGGCCCAGCGGGGCAAAGGAAACCATTTTTTGAGAGGCTCCGTAGACTAGAAGAGCAGGTAGGTGGACCTCACTTGGGGCAGTTGTGTTGGTTTTTGTTTTATTTTTTGTCGGTCGTGGGCCTGAACTCTGGGCCTGGGCGCTGTCCCTCAGCTCTTCAGCTCAAGGCGAGCACTTTACCACTTGAGCCATAGCACCACTTCCAGTTTTCTGGTAGTATTGGAGATAAGAGTCTCACGGTCTTTCCTGCCCGGGCTGGCTTTGAACCACAATCCTCACATCTCAGCCTCCTGAGTAGCTAGGATGACAGGTGTGAGCCACCAGCTCCTGGCTTGTTTTTTTTTTTGTTGTTGTTGTTGTTGTTTTTTAATGGCAACAGATGAATGGTGGATGTTACAGAAACAGTTGTAAACATTGGTGCTCTGTGGACGTGAGCATGCAGTTTAGTGTTTTTTTTGTTTTTGGTTTGATGGGTTTGGGGTTTGGGGGGATTTTTTTGCTAGCAGATAATGGCATTTTCACTTATCTGGACACCAGGAAAGGGCCAACTGGCCCAGGCTCTGAGTACAGTCAGATGATCTGCGGCAGGGTCTGCGAACTTACACCAGGCGTCCGAGAGGCCTGAGCAGCAGGGAGCTTGGGGGCCCAAGGTTCCCAGACTACCCCAGGTATGGGACTGAGAAGGTTCTAGTGCATCTCAAAGCAGAGGTTATAGATAGCCCAGAGGGCCCTGTGTGTGTCCTCCTTCTATTCCAGCAAAGGGATCCCACGGCCCATCCCCCATCTGGCTGCCCCCCCCACAAGCTAGGCAGGACAAGCCGCTGACCACAGGGAAGGACAGCCCCCAGCCCTCACTGCGAAGCTGCAGGACCAGCGGTGGCCATTCATCTGCCCACGTCTCCGGTGTCACGGCATGATCAACCCTGTCACCAGACGGAGCTGCAGGTGTTTCTGCTATGAGCAGAAACAGTCTCCCTCCCCCCCCATAACTGCTGTGACCTCTTTGCAGTTTTGGAGATTCCAAGAGGTGACCTTAACACACCTGCAAAGCATTGCCAGCAACTACAACGTGTCCTACAACATCGATGCCCGGTTCCAGAGCCTGGAGGAAGACAGCCAGGCCACAGCTCTCGCAGTCAACAGGTCCCAGGCCATAGTCTTGGGGGACCTGGCCCACCTGAAGAGCTGGGTGAGGAAGAGCCAGCGCAGAAGCCGGAAGGTGGACACGCAGCTCCAGGCCTTGCACCTTACCCTGAGCGCGCAGGGCAGGCAGTGGGCACAGGAGGCGGACGAGCAGAAGGCGCGGCAGGAAGCCCTGGCCAGCCTGGCACGGGACGTGCAGGCCATGCAGGACACACTGGCCCGCCTGACGCTCCAGATCCACAGCCAGGGAGCCAGACTGGCTGTCTTTGAGGGACATCTGCAGACTGACCATCATGGCCCCTCAGCTCCGGCGCTGACCCTCGCCCTGACCCCCTCTCAGCCCACAAAGCCAGGCCCAGGCTCCCTGCAGCTGCAGAGGGGTAGGCACACACCGGGGGCTTCCGCACTCCAGAATCACCCTGAGGACACCTCCACCCTCGCCGACCCGAGCATCCATCGGTCTCTCGTGCGTCCCCAGGACCCGTCTCAGCTGGCACGGGTCCCCCAGGGACAGGGACATAGTAAGTGTCACAGGCCTGATGCCCCACCTCAGATATCCAGCTGCCCCTCCAGCTCCTCCTGAGCTTCCTCCCCAAGGGCTATGAGGAGAGGACACTCTCTTTATGTCCCCTCTCCCACATGACAGCCTGTCTGCAAGCCCCCGCTGGGCCAGGTCACCATGGTCCTTACACAGCAGAAGGGTGTCTATCAGGGTTGCTGTCATGGGTTTAGACAGGGACATTATCCCAGATTATCCCAGTGGCCTCTCCCAGTGGGAGAGGCAGGAGGGGACACGGAAAGCAAGACAGATGCGGCAGAAGCAGAAACTGGACAAAGGCAGAGGTTTGACAGTTATGTCAGGATTCTAGGTAGGGCCGCAGCCAGGGACCACAGGCACCTCCCTCCTGGGCTGGGGGAATGAGGCCGCTTTTTCTCTGTGTCTCTGTGTCCTGTGGAGGAAACCTCCCTGGCCACGGTTTTGACCTGAGCTGTGTGAGCTACAAAAAGTAATAGACCTGGGTCTGGGCTGGGTTTTTTGTTTTTGTTTTCTCCTGTAATGGGATCAAGCCCAGGGCTGCCTTCTCTGCCACTTGAGTTAAGCAATCAGCCTTTTGTTGTTACCGTTGGTCATGGGGTTTGAACTCAGGGTCAGAGTGCTGTCTCTGAGCACTTTCACTCAAACATAGCACTCTAGCACTTGAGCCACAGCTCCACTTCTGGTTTTCTGGTGGTTTATTAGAGGTAAAAACCTCACAACTTTCCTGCACAGGCTGGCTTTGAACCGCAATCCTCAGATAGGGTCTCACATTACCCAGGCTGGCTTCTAACTCATGATCCTCCTGCTCCTGCCCGGAGCTGGGCTGCTTTCCATTGCTAAATGGGTGGTGATTCGTTTCAGGAGTGGAAGGGCAGTCAGGCAGAGGCTCCTCCAGTGGTAGGGAGCTTCTGGTCGGCACCGTGGGCAGATAGCTCGGCTCACCCAGGGATGCAGCGGTCCTGGCAGGCTGCCTTCGCTCCCAGGTCCTACCCGTGGAGTGGGTGATCTTGTGGCCAGGTAAAGTTGTCGCTGTGGGTCAACACGACACGGTAGCTCAGGGAGCTTGCTAATTCCTGAACAGTTCAGGGACTGATTCTTCACCCCCCTCTTTTTCTAGTTTGCAACGTGGGCCCTGTGTTTATTTTCCCGAATGCCTCCACACAGAACGTGCTCTCCTTCAGTCCCGGCTTGCTCTCAGCCCTGCGAGCCCTGTCCTTCTGCAGCTGGATCCGCGCGGCCGCTGGCCACCTGGGCACCCTTCTTTCCTACGCCACCCAGGACAATGACAACAAGCTGGTGCTGCATGGCCGGGACTCCCTGGCCCCCGGCTCCATCCACTTTGTGATCGGAGACCCAGCCTTCAGGGAGCTGCCACTGCAGCCGCTGCTGGACGGCCAGTGGCACCATGTCTGTGTGGTCTGGGCGTCCACTGAGGGCAGGTACTGGCTGCACGTGGACCGCAGGCTGGCGGCCACGGGCTCGCGCTTCAGAGCGGGCTACGAGATCCCTCCCGGAGGGTCCCTCGTGGTGGGCCAGGAGCAAGACCGTGTAGGGGGTGGGTTTGACGGTGCCGAGGCCTTCGTGGGGAGCGTGGCGGGCCTGGCCATCTGGGACCGGGCTCTGGTCCCTGGGGAAGTGGCAGACCTCGCCATGGGGAGAGGGCTCCCCACAGGTGCCATTCTGACATTAGCCAATGCCACGTGGGCTGGGGGATTTGTGCGGAGGATCAGCTGCACCTGCCTGGAGCACTGTCCTTGAGACGGCACCCCACGGGGGCGTCCCTGCAAGGAGCCAGCTCTGACCCTCGCACACATTTCAGGGATCACTTCTCGGGGAGTGGGGGTGTGTGGGAAAACATCCGATGACGGGGGGCAGCCAAGTTCACAGAGACTGTACCCTTCCCTTCCCATGACACTATTGCAGGCTGTGCCTCCAAGAACCTTAGCTCCCTTGTTCTGTGCAGTATACTAGTTCACCCCGGATGGACACACCCCACAGGAGTGCTAGGCTTAGACAAGGCCTCTCCTCTGAAGAGCCTCCGCAGCGATCACAGACTAGCTGGTCCAAGACCAACCGGAATGCTCCTCCACAGTGCCGAGATGGCCTTCAATACAGATATGACCTTCTCGGCAGGTGACTTCCTAAGTGTTCCCCTGGGTGACGCTGTCCCACGAGCTCCTGCGGAGAGCGCCTGGGAGGTTTCCCTTTCCCAGCACCCTGGCAGGCAGCCGGTCAGACCTGTCCTGTCGGGCTGTGGTAGTGGGGCCGCCAAGGCTGCCATTCAAGATAGACAGGCAATGCTTTGAAATCAGCTTCGTGAGGTGTAATTTTCATGCTATAAATGGGCTTTTCTAGTCCACAGTTCAAAGGTTTTTATAAATGTGCTGACCTGCCCAGCCACATCACCACCATCTGGTCCTAGAGAATTTCAGTCATAGCCCCCCCTAGCCCTGGGCACCCCAGATCTACCTGTGGGTCTGCCTTTTCTGGATGTTGTGTGTGTGTGTGTGTGTGTGTGTGTGTGTGTGTGTGTGTGTGTGTGTGTGTGTGTGTGTCCCAGGCTTGAATTCAGGGCACTCTCCCTGAGCTATTTTTTGCTCAAGGCTAGTGTTCTACCACTGAAGCCACAGCTCCATTTCCAGCTTTCTCACAGACTTTCCTGCCTGGACTGGCTTTGAAATGCAATCCTCAGATCTCAGCCTTCTAAACAGCTAGGATGACAGGCGTGAGCCACCAGTGCCCCAGCTTGTTTTGAATATTTCAAATAAATGCAGTGCTATATCACATGGCCTGTGTCTAGTCTCAGCATAACGTCTTCCACACTCTGCATGCTGTAGAATGTTTGCATCTCATTCTTTTTGTGGATGAATTATACACACACACACACACACACACACACACATAATTTGGTCGTGGGGCTTGAACTCTGGGCTTAGGCGCTGTCCCTGAGCCCTTCAGCTCAATGTGAGCACTCTACCACTTGAGCCATAGTGCCACTTCTGGTTTTCTGGTGGTTTATTGGAGATAAGAGTCTCATGGACGTTCCTGCTCAGGCTGGCTTTGAACTGCGATCCTCAGATCTCAGCCTCCTAAGTAACTAGGATTATAGGTGTGAACAACCTGTTCCTGGCTTGTGATTTTTTTTTTGTAGTCCAGGCTGTCCTTGAACTTGTGCTGCACCTGCCTCTGTCTCCTGAGTCCTAGAATTACAACATATTCCACTATGCCTGGCAAAGGTTTCATTTTTCAACATCAGTTAGTATTGTGTCTTTTGATCATCTTTTTTAAAAAAAGAATTCCCTATTCTGACAGGCTAAAAAATATATGCATTGTCAATTAGAAAAGGTATGTTAAAGGCCGGGCACTGGTGGCTCACGCCTGTAATCCTAGCTACTCAGGAGGCTGAGATCTGAGGATCGCAGTTCAAAGCCAGCCCGGGCAGGAGAGACCG